GTTTTCCTTAGATAGAAAACTTTGAATCAATCTGACTGGATGATCTGGTTGAACTGGAAAGTGCCTTGAAATGACATGATGTGAATTGGAGCTATAGAAATAAACTAATTTATAATTGTTCTGTTTAGTTGTTTAGGATTAGGCTAAAGACCAAGTCTGTAACATTTAGGAGGGATATCGAATCCTGAAACTGTTACTATGCATTTAATGTGACTCTGGTTCCTTTTGTGTTCCAGATATGAAATTCTCACTCCAAATGCTATTCCAAAGGGCTTCATGGATGGAAAGCAGGCCTGTGTGCTCATGGTAATGTATTTAGTTTCAGAGATCAGCCGTTTATAGAAATGTCCCGTCATGTCACACTCAGAACGTCCCGTTTCTAACAGATCAAAGCCTTAGAGCTGGACCCCAACCTGTACCGCGTCGGTCAGAGCAAAGTGTTCTTCCGAGCTGGAGTCTTGGCTCACCTGGAGGAGGAGAGGGACATGAAGATCACCGACGTGATCATGAGCTTCCAGGCCTGGTGCAGAGGATATGTAGCCCGGAAGTAAGAAAGATGGGGAAATCTTTTATTTTTCGGATGGTCCTCCTAAGTGTCAATCATTCTGGTGATCTGTTTACGTAAAGCCGTCCTACGTGCTCGTCCCGTTAGCTATATTTTTCCGTGCATGCGCACTTTCAGGCGTGTATCTGTGGTGCGCTACGTTCAATCATCGAAGCTCACCGCGGTTCTTTGAAAAATGGCAGAGGGTCGGAAGAGGAGTGTCTACGAAGTAGAAAAAGGCCTCAGAAGTTGCCGATATATCCCAGAATGCTTTGCGCGGAGTACTCTCTTCGCAAAGCATTATGGGATTTGCCGTCACAGCGGCCTGCTGCCGCTACCCGACAGTAGCGACTAATAACAAAGATGGCGCACGCACCGCGCAGGGAGGCAGAGTTACGTGAGCAACGGGGAGCAAAAAGTTGCGATCGTGTGTCCGAATGGTCGTTTAACTGAGTTCACTCATATACTCAACTATATAGTCGCCGCTCTATATAGTGACTAAGAGATTTAGGGGTTAAGGTGGACGTTCAGAAACAGTAAGCTTGTATGAACTACGAGAACAGCAGCTTTTAAACAGAGTGTGCACGAGGAGAGGGCGGGTCTTTTCAAAAATTCACGAAAATCCTCCACCATACAATTAAATTTATAGTGGAGGATTTTTCCCAATTTTGAAAAAAAAAAATAAAAAATATGCACATGCACATGCACAACCCTGTACCCACTCCCAGGAGGGAACGTCTATTAAACGCGTGGGAGAGCGTGCATGAGCCCATACGTAAACATGCCGCCAGAATGATTGACAATTAGGACGACCACTTATTTTGATGATCCACCCGGAAAAAGAACATCCTCCACTACACCTTTAACACATTAGCCGCACTGTGCAAACTTAATTTGTTTTGTTTGCTTTTTAAGTAACGCTAATCGGTCGGTCCGTGTTTCTGTTCCGATTCAGAGCCTTTGCTAAGAGACAGCAGCAGCTGACCGCCATGAGAGTCATCCAGCGAAACTGTGCCGCTTACCTCAAACTCAGGAACTGGCAGTGGTGGAGGCTTTTCACCAAGGTGAGCTCAGTGGAAACGGTTCAAGGTGGTCCAATGTCATTCCACCGGTACGTCCTCCTGGACTGTAGCTTCCATCTTCTGGTTTTAGATCATTTATTTACTCCAATATTTCAAATATTTTTTTCTCTCAGAAAGCATATATATTTTTTAAAAGGCATGTTTATGGATAAATATAACCACAACTTTAACCCTATAATGCCAAATG